AAAATTACAATTTGGTTGAAGGTTTCACTGATATGTACCTCATGCACTCAAAGTAAACTGCAATAATATCCTGTTGGGCCAATGTGGCTGCACTCTGGAGATGCGCTTGGGTAAATCTAGCTACAGCATACCTTTGCAAGTTTTAACAAATTAAATATTAGCAGGAATTCCCACATGAAGACAGCCAAGAAAATAGAAGAATCTGTATGGGAGAAGGTATGTTATGGGTTTTATCCATAGCATTCCTCTTCAAACAGCCTTGCTTATTTCAGAGAAGTTAAAAATCTATCAGCCAGATATTGACCACCTAACCAAAGCGACAGAGCTCTTTCACTGAATCAATTTACTTCAGAAAACTGATATGAATATCAAAGAAACAAGGTAGCTCTTCTGATGAACAGCAAAAAAAAAAGCACATTTCCACAGTTCACTCATTGATCAGATCCTTTGGTAAGAATTCCAATCTAAAATAAAACAGAAAACATTTGGCCATTTGATTGAAGCAGACACAGTGTGCTTGCCATGTAAGCTGCCAGTACATGATGTACATTTGACACTGAGATCACATGGTTCTATACACTGTGTTTGCCTACTTGACTGTCCAGTGCTGGCAAGTATGATAACTGGCTTTCTGTCTGTCTTAAAAAGTAGGGCAAGGCAGATATGCTATAACTGTCCAACTAATACAAAGTGTTCCAAATCAGGATAATTTGCGACATGGAGGGGAACTTGCAGGTGGAACTCCCATGTCTGCTGCCCTTTTCCTTCTAGATGGTAGATTTCATGAGTTTGAAGGTGCTGTTGAACAGGCCTTTGAGAGTTCCTGCAGTGCTTATTGGCAGCAGCGTTGCCATCTACAATGTGCAGCAAATATGCAATTTAGCGTGAAATCTAAATGAAATGAAAGTATTGTGTTTAAATGATCAACATAATTTAGAATATGCACTTACAGAAAGGATTTTTAAAAAAATTCTATTTGAATTTTGCTGCAGTAATGCTAACAATAACTCCCTCAGTGTAGGCACAAAAACTGAAGTAATTGCTTCACAGAAAAAAGCAGAATTGGAAATTATAGTCTATATACATTTTCTGTACAATCACCTAAATTTTACTAAAAGCAAATGCTTTTCAAACCTCAGTGAAATTTTAATCAAACATGGAAGATTAGTTATGCTTGTACATGAAAATTCACTGCCAGTACATCGATACCTGTACTGATGTTTCCAGTACAGTCAGCAATAAAATTTGTTTTCTTTCTATTTCCTTCAACTCCTACTTGCCAAAATAAGTAATGAAGGAGCATTCTGTTGTTTTACAAAACTGCAGTGGTCTATGTATCATCACTAAACAACATCATATAATATCTTAGATTATGCAAAAGCTAATCTTTCAGAAATATTACAGGGCCAAATCTTGCTCACCACCTCACCCAATTTTCAAGATTTCACGCACACCAATAGGCATGGCTATGAATGATCCAGCCCCGTTCATATATTCAAATCTGAGTTGTAGTGACTGTACAATAATGAAATTTTTCTCAACTGTGAAAATATTATTCTCAATTTTAGAATTTTGGAATAAGGCAAGTTTTGTGAATACCATCTGTTTTAGGTCTGTGGTAATGCTCTTGATGACAACATTCAGTACACACTTAGAGCTTTGCCTACAGGACAATTTGAAAAAACATTGTGTTTCTAGGAGACAGCTGCAGAGGGAAGAAAATCAGTGACTGACCTCAGGCTTAGCAACCCGAAAGCTATCTCAGAGCGTACCTTATACCTACCCCAAAAGGAAAACATAATACTCTGTCAAGTGGCAATGACAATTTTGGAAAGGTAAAAAAAAAAACATATGTGGAATACAAGCCTCAGGTGACTAAAACTGTGAGCATTTTCAAAGGTGAACTGCTAATAAGAAAGAAGAAAATTCAAGTTGTAGAGAAATTCCAGCACAACTGCATTCAGTTTAAAATAAAACGAAGGAGCTACTTAATCAGTTCTGGCTTGAGAAAGAAACTCCCTTTACTGCCCCACAGATTTTGTTATCAGAGTGCAAGGTAGGTGGTTTGAATGTCACTTCCATAAGTGCTTCATTCAAATCTCCATCAGATTTAAACTGTAAATTAAAAGTCAGCCTGCATGCTGAACAGTAATTAAATTACATTTAACGCCCCTTGTTCATGATCTGACTTGGAGCAACCTCTTAAAACCCTGGGGAGGGGATATGGTGTGAAAAGAGACATTTCAGAGTTAGGGTCATTACAACAAGCTAAATTTTGTCTTGGGGGTTTCAAAGCATAATTGGTACTTAAATGGGCCCACTGATGCAAGTTAAAGACAAATCCTCTGTAGAGAGTAAAAAGTGACATTATTGCACTTTCCAGAGCTATTATTTGGAATCCAGCATTGAGAAGCTGATTTCTCAAGTCTAGACTCTAAATCGGATTGCCTGAATCCCGAAGGGCTTGTAGCCTTAGTTCGTTATGATTATGCAAATTTGCCAGTGGTATAAAAGAACCAGACTTTCAAGATACATGCAAATTTAGTGAGGTTCACAACTGCCAGAATCCAATTAAAACTGAATCAATAAGAGAGCGGCATCTCACTCCTATTATTCCGGCTGAACATTTTGCTAGCTGAATAGCAGCAGCACAGAAAACAAAGAAAAGTTGTAAACTTATGGAGACTTGAAATAATAATAGAAAATGCTGGAAATACAACAGTTGATTAAATATCACCAGTAGGATAAAGCAAGGAACAAATGCTTTTATTTAGATTTCCAGATGGTATGGGACTGGCTCCAACAACGACGACTATTTGTGAAGTGAATCAGCACAATTCAGATGTTTAATAAAGGAGAAATCAAAGGGCAAAATACTGAACATTGAAGAATTTCTTGTATTCATGATCTAAGTGAAAAATCAAGTAGCACCAAAGAATTGCTGCACCTTACAAACTCAGTTTGGAAATAAGGCATTAAGTCACATCAGTTGACTCTGTAGCTAATTACATAACAACCTGATTACAGTTTTCAGCAAAATCTTAATCTTTACTGTACATCTTCAACATTCTGCTATCTCCTTGCTCTTTTGATTATGTAATATGCCCTTATCATTTAATCGCCTCAACAGAAACATTTAACATCCTTAAAATTTTTTTTACAGTTCTCTTTTGGTTGTTATAAAGTGACAGCAGTACTGAACAAATGCTCATTTCAAACAATTATTGATTTATTCCTTGATAAAAGGATTGAAAGATTTAAAACACAAGGAGCATGTTAAAATTCATGTACGTCTCTGTGATAGCCCAGAGATAAACAATAGAAAATTGGAACACATCTGAACCTGCAATAAATCTGATTATAACAAACTGCTGGAACCACACTCACCTCTGGAATGATTTGATTGCATCAGTTTTACATGCAGGAAAATTTGACTGCATAACATTCAACTTATTTCTAGTCAACAACATTCTGGCAAGACCAATTGCTATTCATTAACAAAACTAATTGGCGATCAAAAATTAGACCTCACGTAAACAACCAAATGAAGACAGGGATCAAGATAATTTATTTGTTATGATTAAGACAGATATTCTGAAGTCCAGAGGCACCAAACTGGTACCTGCTTAGTGTTGTCCAAAGACGTGTGTTATTCTATTGTATCAATAGAAATCACGGTTATCAGATCTATTTCTTGTAGGAGTGCTAATTGTGGTTCAGGAAGACTTTTAAGTCAGTCACACTTCTCCAGGAGATTCATTCATTTCAATTTATACAAATATCAATGGATAGCTCTTTGCAATGTTCTTTCAAATCCTAGACAACGCAGTTACAGAATTATTAATTTTAAAACCTCCAATTAGTTATACTGTTGGTGCAATTAAGCTGGTTAAAGAATTATTACTGGCACAGAGCAGCCACAGCAATCAGACGTGCACCTACCTGAACCCTGGCAAACACCGCAGCCAATCAGTACCATTCACCTTGAAGGATGACTATGACAGGACTTAGTTTGGCCTTTCACAGGCAATTAATTACAAAGTAATTCAGTCTCAAAAAGTGGGCTAATTATAAACACTTCCATCTCCAAAGTTTGTTTTCCAAATAATGCTCCATTATGAACTAACTGTTGGCTTGTATTTTTTCGGCTACAGAAAGCAAGTCCTGCACTCAGAATCCCAGTATTTTGTGAGATGTTCTACCCTATTCCCAAAGACCTGCAGGTCAAATAAAACGGCCTGTTCAGTCAAAAGAAAAACCATGGCAGAAACTCGCAACCCTGAGTTGTCGTCATCCTCAAATTAAGGGACAGTCAACAGTGGCAATGATTTTCTCTTCGCAAGCTGTCGTGATGGCTCAGATTTTCTGACAGCCACATAGTCGTTATTCCATGTAGATGGGAATTGTACATGTGAACCCTACAGAATCCCCATTGTAGCAGACTCTGAAAGAATTGCACAAAAATTAAAAGAACTCACTGGCAATTTCTCTAAACTTGGAACCCTCTGAAAGTATCCATTTTAATTTAGAGAATTTGGAGGGTTCCACTGAAATTAATAAAATAATTGCTCAGCAAAATTTAGACTATACTCCAGCATAACCATACAACTGATTCCATATATACCTTATACACCTCCATCTGTAACGTCTTCAGACCGGATATTCCTCCCTTGCCTCCAGTACCCAACACTCCCGCCCTACTCTCGACTCGTTCCCTCCTCCATTCCCTACCTTAACTGCTTTCAGCTGTCCTTGCGCCTACCCATTCACAGCGGAACCGACATACCTTCCTGCACAACCACCCACCCCCACCACCCCCAACCCCATATCTCCTAACCTCTCCCTTGCCACCTCACACCCCTACCACCCAGTATTCTACCTGCTTGGCACCTGACACCTCTGGCACCCTACTTCCTAAACATTGCATCCACCTGGCCCTGTACTCCTGCCTATTTGGCAGCCTACCCATCTGGTACCTAGCACCCTAACCTTACACTTACCTGGGAATTACTGTTTGACAGCAGCTACCAGGTGGCTGTCTGTTAATCTGGACCTTTAAATTTCAGAATACAGCAGCTGACTGTTGTCAAGAACTGGGTGTGGTTTGTCCTCCACTGGCAGTTGCAATATGAGAGAACTGTCAGCATGCAAGTGCGGCTCCGCGTTACTGAAGGAGCTCTGATCAAAATCTCTTGTAGAAATATGGAACTCTCCCCTTTTGATATTAACAAACACAGAGAATGCTGGAGAGACTCAGCAAGCCTGACAGCATCTGTGGAAAGAGAAACAATATTTCTCATAGTGTAAAATTAATAATTACAAAAAATTGCGACTGAGAATAACATGCTATTAGGAAGTGTTATTTAATAGGGGGTATTACACAGAATTATATGAACATATGATACAGAAGCACATTATTCAGCCTGACTAATTTGTATTAGTATTTACGTTTCATGCCTTTCCAACTATTCCAGCTACCTCATCTCAACTTTTCACCACATTCTTCTATTCTCTTCCCTCAAAGTTTCCTTAAAAGCAGCTAAGGCAGTTGTGTCCGCAACTTCTTGTGGCAGCAACTTCCACTTTCTAAATCAATTGCGGTAATGAATATCTCCTTATTTCCTGATTGTACTAAAGCCCTAACTTTAGCCATGAGCCGTCAGTATAATGCCTCTTCAAAGGCTTTTTGAAAATCCATTGTACGCAAGTAAATGGCACCTGCAACACCCTAAAGGACTTTTTAAATATATTTTCAAGTAGTTAATCCACCTGCTAGTCATAGTCCATTCCAGTTGGCCACAGCAGTTTCCTTGCTCATCCTCTCTAGACCTTGGAATAAAAAGGAAGGGGGCTCCTGCAAGACAGCATTTTGCATTTATATAGCACCTTTCAAGACCTCAAAACCTCAACGTGTTCGACAGAAAATTAAACCTGGTTGCTATTGAAATATGCAAAACATGGCAGCCAATTTGTTCATGCAATTTCTTGACAAAAGCAATTGATAAAATTTGGGTAATTTTTTTTCATTATGTTGATTGAAGAGTATTGGCCAAACTCAATACCCTGTTCGAAACCAACTTAAGTCTTCTTTAAAATCACTATCCAATGCATTGAACTGTGTTTATCTAAACAAGTACTCTGTAAAATACATTTTGTTGTGAAGCTGAATTCCTTTTGTATCAAATGAGAACAAAGCCACTGAAATTGAAACCCCACATCAAGAGTTACTGAAAGTCCGCTATGCAAAAATTAACATAAGATGCATTGAAATGCCTTTATCCACCATTTTTACTGAGATGCCTGCCACTTTGACAAAATGGATGACAAAATTTCATACAAAAGCACAAAGATTTCTATGTTAATGTTCACACTGTGTAACTTTGAATCTTTAAAGACGTGCTTGATTTATCACATTTAAAATTAAAGACAAACCTTAGCTCTTCAACAATAATCCCAAATTACTAAAGCCATAAAACTTTGCTCAAGAACATATTGCTTTCTGCTTCCATCACACAAGCACTGTGCTCAGTGTTTTTAGCCTGTACTTCCAATGATGTCTTCAAATCTACCCTTTAGCAAAATGCTTGAAAGCTCCTTGAATTTTAACAACACTGCTAATATTTAACTATGTCCAAAAGGCTTTTCCAGAGTATTTATTTTGAACAAGAAAGTAATGAAATAGTCATGCCAGAACAATCATGCAGAATACATCAATTTCAGGAAAAGAAAGTCAAGTTATGTAAAATTGTTTTCAGTCTACGTTATTGATGTATAAGTAAATATCCAAAATGTCAGTAGTTCGGAGATAAATCTCGTCAGATACAGAAAAGACAGATGAAGTATTTCGTAAAGTTATTCTTCAAGTAGGTACCACATAGTTACATTCTGGTGACATGTGGATACCACACATGTACATTCTAGTTATAGACAGACACCACAGAAACCCATTTAACTCCCATTTTGATGAAAGACCTCAATTTTTCAGAAATAAGCAAAACATTTAGATCAAAGATGTTTCATGATTTGGGTAAAAAAAAGTTATATCTCAAAACTTGCACATTGAACGCAGGTAACCACTGACACTACAAGAGAAAGGCTATCAAAAGCCAGCCACCCTCTGACCGCAGCTTCACTTCAACAAGTCACTTTAAACCTCCTAGGCTAAGCGAGTTAGTCAAACCCTTTTGAAAAAGAGATTGGAAGACAGAAAAGGAAAGAAAGTTGGATGATCTTGATGAACAAGATCAAAACATGTTCTGATGTATATTTATAGATTTTGCTGTGGGGTACGTTAGCTCAGCTGGCTGAACAGCTGGTTTGTGATGCAGAGCGACGTCAACAATGCCCACAATGGCTGAGGTTACCATGAAGGGTTGTCCTTCAACCTCTCCCCTCACCTGAGGCATGGTGATCTTCAAGTTAAACCACCACCAGGTGTATCATTCTAACGAGCAGCCCTATACTCTGGTAAGACTATGGTGACTTTATCTTTAGATTTGGCTGTACAAATATCCACCATTTTCTATATCTGATACTTTCCTGTGCATAAATACTCAACAGTTAAAACGGTAAGTACAATATAGTTTCCTTGAAAGGTGGAGTAACGAACTGAGCAGCAGTTATTGCTGGTGCTGCCAGTATCAAGAATAGTTTTTCTGTTTTTGTTATTTTCTTCTCACGATACCTCAAAAGAAATAGATGTGTTCTTCAACTATACAAGGATTGAGATTACCAGTACTATTAAATTTGATTGAAAATATTTTCCTCAATTCAAACCTGTGTTCTAAAAATCTGGCAAAAACCACACAACATCTATAATTTACATCGGTAAAGTATATTGTTTAGGCTGCAAAACAAACTCAAAAACACAGGAACGGGGATCAATTCAGCCTGTCAAGCCTGCTCTGCCATTCAATTAAATCATAGCCAATCATCTACTTCAAAGTCACTTTCCCGTGCTAGCACCATGTCCTTTGATGTCATGGTCTCCAGAAATCTAACAATTTCTATCCTGATTATGTTCAGCACAGCACTCTATTCCAAAAGAATCGCAAAGATTAAACACCCAGTGAGTAAAGAAATTATTCCACATCACAATCTTAAATGGCTTACTCCTTATTCTAAGCAACATCCCTGTTTCTAGATTCACTAGCCAGTGGAAACATTCCATCTATATCCAATTTGTTATGTGCTGTATTATTTCTGTAAGTATCAATGGGACCACCTCTCATTCTTTGAAGTTCTAGAGAACAGAGGTCCAGTTTCCTCAATCACCCCTCAAAAGAACATCTTGCCAACCCGGGGATTAGTCTAGTGAACCTCCATTTTATTCTGTCTACGGCAAGTTTTCTGATCTAGTGAAACCAAAACTACACACAGTACACCATGCGCAGTATCACCAACGTTGTATACCCTTGTGATGAAGGCCAACATACCATTTGCTTCACTCATTGATTCCTACACCTGCATACTAGTTTTTAGTGACCTATGAGCAAGGGCACGCAGCTCGGTTTGGCCACGAACACTTCAATATTTCACCTAAGAAATTCTGCGGTTTTCTGGTTTTTCTACCGAAGTGGATAACTTCGCACTTATTCATATTATGTTCCATCTATCATGTTCTAGCCCATTTACTTAGCGGTCCAAGTCCACTTTAGGATTTCTTGCATCCTTTTCACAACTTGCACTCCCATCCGGTTTAACACCATCAGCAAATTTAAAGACATTACAGTTGGTCCCCACATCCAAATCATTTATATAGATTATGAACAGCTGTGGCCCTAGTATCCTTGTGGTACCCAATTAGGTACAGCCTGCCATCCTGCAAATGACCTATTTATTTCTATTCATTACTTACTATCTATTAATAAACTCTCAATCCATATTGGTATATTACCACAAATCCCATGCGTTCCCATTTTGATTACTAGCTTTCTATGTGGGACCTTGTCAAAAACATTCTGAAAATCTAAATGCACCACATCCATTGGTTCTACTTATGCCACAAGTAACATCTTCAAATAAACTCCAACAGAACTGTCAAACATGTTTCCCATTTCAAAAATTCATGCTGATTCTAACTAATTTTACCATTATTTCCTCAGCATTGTGATGAAAGGTGTGATATATATATTTTTTTGGAATTTGGATTGTTTTAAAAACATAGGCAGATTGATGTCGGTCAGTTCTCTGAAGGTTTACTTTTAATAACAAAACAATCAGCAAGTTATTTAGTAACAGTGACCTGAACTCAACATTGTTCAGAAAGTATGTGATTGATGACCGAGTTATGACAGATGGTGGAAAAACATTAGCCACTGATTTTGACTTCAGAACACAGAACTCACAGTGGAGCTCAGAAGCAAATTTTAGTGGGAGTTCAGGGTAGCTAGTTACCCTGGCAGAAACGTCTAGGATGGTTAGCTTTCAGGCCAGGAAATTTGGATAGAAATCTACAATTTATTGGAACTGAGAAAGTTTAGGCTCTCAGACTTGTGAAGACTTGACTGTAGCGAGTGCTCAGGAGTTTTTGCTAACGTTGACGCTTTGTACCAGTTGCTGCTCTGAGACAAAGGGCAATAGAAACCATTTCCTTTGGAAATGCAGTACGATTTGAAAAGCAAACAGGCTCTGCAGAGTAGGACAGGCTGTTAAAAGAGGAAGGAGGAGGAGAGGGTGGGAGTACAGCTTTTGACAGAAGGCCATATCTGCCTTAATGCAGGTCTCATAAGCAGGGGTGGGAGTAAAATAATCAAGATTGATGAGTCATCTGGAGGGACGGACTAATACAATGGTAAAATGGTAAAGTGACTGAGATTTGGGGGCATATGGTTGAATGCTGACCAGTAATGACCCATGGTTCTGTCAGACATTTAAAATGACTCAATTTTTTGGCAGCTTTCAACTGTTCCTTCGGAAGCTCTGTTTTGGCTGTATATAGACTTGATTTCTCTGGATGAAGGTTGGTTTGTGACATAAATTGTGGAATGTATATGTTTAATTTTTGTTGTTATTTGTTGAGAGGTTGGTTTCTGGTTATGGCATTAGTGACTAGTTCGTTTTCTGTGTGTCTGAAGTTAATAGTTACTTTTTAAGCATTTCCATAGCCATGGTAATTTCTTTTAAAAATGGATTTTAAGGGCTATCTTAAGAACGGTTTTTTAATTTTTTCA